AAAACACGGCGATTAAATTAAAAAAATATATATACAAAAAACGCAAAAAGGAGCGACATGCGGCAACCGCGTGACATCTCTTTCTTTCTTTTTTTTTTTTTACATTAGGTTTAATGCGCCCCAGCGGATCTGAACGCGACAACGGCATTTGATACTATTGTATAGCCTTTGTCAGAATAATAATAATACATTTAACAATATGGTCTACTTTATTCGTGTGTGTACTGCTTTGCCCTTTTTTGGGCAACACGTTATTATTATTTTGGGACCCACCGTGTGTGTATGTGTGTGTCGCATCACGTGTCAAAGGTCTCGGGGCCGACGCCGGTAAGAAAAATCGATACGGTCTCGTTATAATTTTTTTTTAAGTTTATTGTTCTTGCACCGAAACCTGTCAAAACTTAAATTACTGACGTCGCGTTCATTGTACACCTAACCCCGGCGTACTATACTGCTACGTGAGCACTGCGCTATGGCGGAAACAAAACAAAAAAAAAATACAAACACAAATACACCGACAGGCGGAAATGTGTTGACAGGAGCAACGCAAAATTGGGAAAAAATATATTGAAAAAACAAAGAATTAATAAAGAACGATTGTAAAAAAAAACGAAAACACTTACGCTTACGTGCGGCGAAGAAAATTATTAATTTTTTACCAACTTTACAGGCAGGTTTTTATTTTTTTTTGCGGTAAACTTGTTTTTTTTTTATCAAAGCCATTCGAGTCGTTCGCGTTTCATTTCAGTTTATTTTCGTTTTTTTTATGCTATCGCCTACGATTTTTTTTTTTAGGAAATAAAAAATATCATAAGCCCATAACAGAGTACAGTCTGGCGGATGGTCTACTGCAGATACAAAAGTCTGTGTAAACCGTATTACATTTTACTGCTGTATGTATATTGTATACATATATATTATTTTCACACTGATAAAATAATAACACTCGAGCGTCGGCATAATAATAATAAAATGATAATATACCATTTCGACAAACGGTTTCCGCAATCCGGTTGATAAAAAGAAAGAAAGAGAAATTTTTTTCACGCACTGCGACAAGATAATATTTTTAAGGGGGCGGCTCAGGGCATTTCGTTTATTTTCTTCAGAGGCAAAATATAAGCATTAGTTCTAATAATTGCAGATACCTCTTATATAGCGGCTTAGCACGGCAGTATAGAAATCTCTGATTGTTCATATTCCTAGGTCTGGGCAGTTGAAGGGCGGTCGCCCCTTTAGCCTCCCCCGCCCCCTATTCGTAGCACCGTCACCGTGTTTCTTACCTTATTTTTTCCTTGTTATGCTATTTTGAACGTGTAAAATTCGGTTTTTATCTTGCTAAATTCACGGGCAATCTCAATACTAGTAATATAAATGATTTTTACTTTTTTTTTTTATAAGTAAAAGAAAACATTTTTTTGCCACTCATAAACAACCCAGGCCGTCGATTAGATTAATTTAGATTAGTTACCTGTAGGTTCGGATAAACAGGAAAAACTGATAAACACATAATTAAACCAACCAAAGGTTAGTAGTATTAATTAGCTAATTGGTTACCACACTCTGGAATCACTGTAGACTGTATTAATCACACCACTACTGTTCTCGACCAACTCGAATGTTAACAGTTAATAATAATAATCACTTCTTAATGTCAATTTGGTCTGCCAGTAAAAAAATTTTTTTTTTATCTTAGTGGTTGCAATTATTTTTTTCGTAACATCTTATATACGAGCTAGGCGTTTTTAAAATAAATTCATACAACTAAGAAACTATAAACATATTTTTGTTTTGGTCTAGCGCTTCATTAGTTTAATTTCAACGAACGTTTTCAAATAGAAGTAGATAATATATTGTCATAGTTTTTTTACTTGTCCGGATTTATTATTCTCTCTTAGCTTGGCCCACTTGAACGAAACTAGACATTTACAAAGCGAATAATGCTAAAAAAAAAAATAACCATTAGCGAATCGCCATTTTATAAATAGTAAAATTACAATATTAAAACGACAACGGACACCGGATCGTTTGGACGGACACCAAAAACGAAATTAAAACATTTTTCTCTTTTTTATGATAAACGATCACAACAAAATACTATACGCTTACTATAAGATGTGACCAAGACGCTTAAGTGTTTTTTAAGACACGATGATGAACATTGAACGCCAGTCGCCAAATACGACACAGATTACAATAATATTGTACGCCATAGTTTTAGTTATGTCGATTGTTTCGGTCAAATTACATATTTTAATTTATCGTTTGACCACGTTTGGTCGATGTTCAGAGTAGGTTTTTTCTGCAAAATTAACATGGTTTTTATTTTATAAAAAAAAATGTTGACATTTTTTAGAAATGTTCTTATTTTTTCAGAGACAGCGTCTTTGATGCATTCATTATAAAATGTAATCAAAATTGTATAAACATAAGAAAAAAAAATTATAAATAAAACTAATAATTGCACATTAAAAAAAATGATAAAAGTAAATAATAACAATAATTAACACTAATACGTTTAAAAATGAATTCGATACAATAATAAATAATTTTTTTTTTTTGTATACACAAATGTATGAAAATGACTTAAGTACACCCTAATAATCTTCCTTTCAATTGACACATTTTGACCGGTTATCCGTGATCATAGTTTTGATAAACTATTTGACAGCATTCGACTGACTGCCAATCCCATCAATAAAATAACTGTAACAGAAGAAAAGACCAATTATTTTTAATAATCTGTACGCTTGTTTGTTTTTGAATGTACAAATGTGTTTAGAATATTATAATTGGAAGTTTCGTAAAAGAAAAAACCTAGTTAATTTATCTGCATACCGTTAGCGTTATCTTGCCGAGCGGGCAAAACATTTAAATTACCAAATTAATTTAAAAAAATCGATAACGATAAAAAAAATATAGATCATGTCGATAAGAACACGACGCGACTTGTGATGATAATATATTATGATGATGATGATTATAATTTTTTTTTTAATTGAATAATTTTAATTTGTTTTTTTTTAGCGATTACTGATTAAAAAGCAAAAGGGTTCTATATGAATGGCAAATATGTACATCATTAATCCTCGTACACTATAGCCTAAGTTATTATGATGATGAATCTTAGTGCGGAGCGTAACTTGTGTTGTAATATTCTGATTAAAATATAATGAATAATTTAATAGGTTTATCCGGTTGGGAGTAGACGTTTGGCTAAATCTTGTGACGGACGGGATTAACTCCTTCTCGGACCCGTTTGTCCGGTCCAGAGAAATTATAATAATAATGTGCTTGGGGCTTTGCACGCGATTTGGAGCCGGTAAGGAGGGGGGGGGGGTGTTCGCTTAAGTATAAATCAAAGTAAAAGATAAATGTATGTATTTCATCCATTCGGCGTTCACTATAATCTATAATGTCTGTTGACATACCGGCGGATTTCATACTCGGCCGGATCTATACATTTTTTTTTTTTTTTATTATGAAATTTTGGGTTTACAATTTATTTATCTATATTATTGTTATTGGCTATTGCCATCGTTTATTATCATTGCCGGACGGAAAACGAAAATACAACAAAATAACGCGATTTGCTGTAAGTACAATATTTGTGTGCGCCAAATGAGAAGAAAGTGAAGAAACGACAATGGCGCATTTACATAATATAATCCATCCCAGAACAAAACGCGACGGGAACAATTAAAGATAATTCAGGATCAGTTCCCATCGTGACAAATATATAAGAAATAAAAAACCGATTTCAATGGAACAGCGATTTCGATTGTGTGTCGATTCTGTTTTTTTCGCCCTTTTCGTTTTGTCTGTCCACACAAACGCGTTATTGAAAGCATTCGATGGGAACATAATATGTTTGGAAAAAAAAAAAATAATCAGAAAGAAAGAACGTCGTCGACGGTCACTCTTTAACAACGTTCGATTCGGTCTTGGTCAGACGATAATTACTAGAAGAAAAACAGATATAATAATAGTATACACAAAAAAAGCCAGTTGGACCAGAAAGCGGCATCGGTCCTATGTTTTTTATTATTTCTTTAAAATAAGTTTCGACGAACATAATATGACTCTTCTTATTATTCTATCTATCATCTATATGGGCTTATATGACTTATGACATTTTGTTCTATCTCAGTCACAGAGGATTTCGCAAACACGTGTGCACAAACTGTATTTTTATTAAGAGTAATATATCAGCAATGATATTAAAACATATTTAATGCTTAGGTGGACCAACTACCCAGAACAATTTTTGAAACTCTTTGACATTGTATTGGTGAACTGCGAACATAATATGATGTGTTTTTTAAAACGGCAATTTACACTGAATTTGCCTCCTTTGTGCGACGGTCCGTAATGTACAGCTTAATTGGCGTGGAAATTCAATTTTTTTGGAAATCTTAATGTCATACAAAAATACTCTAAATAATAATAATAATTTACTAGGTATGCGAAAAACAGATTTAAAAAAAAAATTTCAAAATGGAAGCCGAGAAGAGTTTTTACCACAGAATAGGAGGGTCACTTTTAATGTAAACAAAAAAGTGACGGCCATTTTGTGACGGAATGTTTATTATTATAATGTGTACATCTATACTAGGTAAAAAAAATTATGTATAGATATAACATTATAGTAGTGCAGCCTTTAAAAAGGTGGCCGCCGCGTTTCTGTGTGATAAGTACCCCGTGTTAATCAGCGGCCTGTTTTTACCGCAAAACAATTTTGCAAAGAATCGTCGAAAGGCACATTTCGTAAACGGCACTGTCGTCGACGCCGGCCGCAGCGGATAGTCGACCGACAGAAAACATAACAATTATCATACCATTACATCAATAGTAATCCTAATAGTAATATATTATACCATTAATAAAGTGAAATGCCGACGCGGTGCCATCGTCTAGCGGCGCACCGCCGCGGCGGCGGCCGCTTGGCGGCGCCACGTCCGACCGGTCGGCCAGACGTACGCGGCCGTCGTGCCATTACCGCCAAACGTGCCGGAGGAACGACTTGGCTGTCTTTAGTCCGGTGTCCGTCGTCCAGCTATACAGTACACTGCCGCACTATTGTGGCCACTGATCGCCGCCGTGTCGTACTCGTGCGATATATATTTTGAATTTCCGTTTGGTTTTATTTTCAAATTACATATTATTATTATTATTTTGTATCGACGACAGATTAGAGTATAAAAAAAAAAACAAGCTTACGCGTTATTGCTAATTTATTTGTTTTTTTTTTTTTTACTATTAATTACCCAAATATCATCATTGTGTCGCGAGTTTCAGTGTTGAGTTCGCCCATATGACCGTCGCCCGTGCCGCAAAATCAGTCTAGTGTTTGTGCGAGTGTGCGGGAGTGTCGTGTGCGATGGCGTTGAACGCCACTACGTGCTACAACAAGACGACCAGCTATGACCCGTACCCAAGTCTAGGCGCGGTACCGTCGGCCGTACCGACAGCCGCCGCTTCTTACCGCGCCAAGGACTTCAACGTGCCGCTCCACGTCGACTGCAGCGTCGAATACGAGATGCCCAGTTCGGCCAAGCCGCCGACCAGCGGCAAAGTCGAGCCGCTGCTCATGATCCACCCGTCGTATTACCGCAAAGCCGAGAGCCGCACGCGTCCGCTGTTCGTCAACAACATGCCCACCGCGGCGGCGGCTACGGCCTCGTCGTCCACCAGCAGCCGCAGGATCGGCGGCCGGTCAGCGCCCATGGGCGGCGCGGACGCGTGCTCTGCCGCCGACGGTCCGCCACCCGCGAAAAAACCGTACGCCGGACCCGCGCCCGGCGTCACCGCGTCCTCCGTGGCCGGCGCGTACGGCATGGTGGCCGGAGCCGTGGCCGCGGCCGCAGGCGCGTCCCAGTGGCCTCTGTTGGGCTCCAGCGCCGAGCACCAGAACCACGACGGTAAACGCACGTTGGACATAGTACAACGGCAGTACCAACAGCACCTGCAGGCCAGCTTACCGCCGCCCATGATGACGGCCGCCTTGCCAACGGATAAAACCCACTTGACAGGTTAGTTACCAAATACCATTTTAGTCTCGTTTTGCTAGGCCTAGAAAATGTTTGGTTTTTACCTAAAATTATGCATTTCATAGGCTTATTTCAATTGGGCGTATGTAAACTCCAAAAAATAAACTCTAAAATCCGAATCGATTAAAACTTTAAAGTTTAAATCCTTACTTTAAGGTTAGGCGTAAAACTATCATTTAAATCAATTGTTTCCTTACGGAAATTGGAACCCCGCTAAAAATATGTTATTTGTTGTGGTCATAACTCCTAAAAACTCCTGTCGCATTTGTCATTAGGAAATTTGATAATTTGATCATTATTGTTCTCGCTTCACTTTCCTTTGTCGATTAAATACTATAATAATACCGTCGCGTCGATTTTGGGCTCAAGCCATGTAATTAGTAATAATTTTACATTCTTACAACGAGTAATAGGTAACAATTTAGGAAATTTCACTTGGGCGCAACAGCAACTCTGGACGTGACTGTTAAAAATTAGTTTTACTACATAATTGTAGTAAGGGAAACGGGTACGATAATGGGATACGCGCGAAAAAAAATTAAATTTGCAGCCGTTTTGGAAATATAAAAATATATTATATAACAAACGCGTTTAAGTGCTCGGTCGTAGTCTCCGAGTACTGTCGGAACTAATAAATTAGACTTAGCGTGACTTCAAAACAAATGGTATACTTTGGTAGACTTTGTTGGCGATTTTTTCAAAAAAACATTATTGGCGGTGGCCGAGACCAAAATATAAAAGCCAAACCTTATATGAATAGGGTTTTTTTCACATATTTTTGCCGCCGGTCGTTTGCCTGTGATTTTAGGCGGCCAGTTTTGACTTTTATACCAGATAGAGAGAGAGAGAGAGAAATCAATCCAAGTTCGATTAATAATTGTTTTTTATTACAGCTGAGAATAATAATATAAAATATTTATCATCTCCGCAGACACATAAAAGTAGACGTTGGCTGGAAGACGTTGTTGTTAATTATTTTACTTTTATTCCATAAATTTCGTTTTCATTATTTGTTGTTTGTTGTTTTTTCTTTTTTAGATTTCGGGTACGTTATCATCACGCGTGTGTCTAAAGCGTTTCGTTGGATTTATTACTACTTACCGTAATAATTTTTAATTTTTTTTTATTTTTGGTTTTCACCGCGCGTCCCTCGAGGTGTTTTGTTTTTTACTCGTGCATAATAAATTACAACAGGCAACGGCTGTTTGTAAGAAGCATATAATAAATACCGTGTGCTATTGTAATAACAAACAATAACAATAGTCTCTTATTAAAAAAAAAAACTGTTTAAATTATGTACAGTTTTTACCTGTATGGGATGTATTTTTTTTTTTTTTCAGTTGAACCTAAAACCCAAAGTGCTCTTTATATACATTTGACGGTCATTCGCACACGTTGTTTTTTTTTTTTTGTAGGTAACTTTCATACGACCTTGCCGGGTACGGATTTTGCTTGAGTCTTGCACGCTTAACACAAGAAATGATTTAACAACAACTCGGACCGTTCGTGTAACGCCTCCGCAATGTTTTTTAATTTGTTATTATTATTATTATTATTATGCGGTATCTTATATATATATATAATATAACCAACGTTAACAATACAGGCATGAATAAACATATTAGCGGTGATTATGTCGGCCGGTTAATGGGAGTGTTAATATTGGCAAGTGATTGTTGTAAGCGATTAGAAGTAGATAAAAAATATACCTATACCCATGTTATATAGTCATTGTACTTATACTAATTAAAAATAATTAATTTCGTTTAATAGGCGTCGTTTTTTGCTATTATGTATAATTTTCTTATTATTATTATTTTTTTTTTAATTAACGCGCTCGAGAGTATAATATTGCCTGCGGAATGTCTTGAAACACTTTTTCAATCAAGCTACTATATTGCCAAGGGAATACAGTTTTGCACGCTTCATTCGTTAAATACACATTGCCATTGTTTACACCACTTGTTTGCTTATGTGTTATACCCAATGCAATAACATGAATAATAATTTCTGGAAAAATATCCTCAGAAAAACAATCGAATACAAAAATTCCGTACTTGAAAAAATAATGCGTTCTAGTACAACAAAAACAAACTAAAAAACGTTTTATTGTTAACTCAAATTTTGGACGATTTTTCTGAAAAAAAATTAGCTGAGTACAGTTGAGAATAAAACGAGGAAATTCAAACTCAAACGATTAAGTAAAAAACAATTTTCGAAAAAAAAAACAATGAATTTAGTTTGTTATATTAACATTATATTTGCTGCTTGATGTATTTTCATTGATTCTTCGCCGTTTGTGTAAAATATTCTGTTTGTTGTCTGTTGCTATCAGAGCAAAACAGACTAAAAAATAATAATTATCAGTGACTTTATTGCAAGTGTAATAAATTCTATACCGAAAAAAAAGGCGTTTGTCCTCTCGCGGCGGCTGACTTGTGCTAAAATATTATTGTCATTCAAAACTAAAAACACAAAAGGTGCGATTTCCAAGTCGAAAAATTGTAAGGCATAAATATCGTAAATTTAAAAAAAAAACACCACAAACACGTGTGTCACAAAAAAAAAACAAACTGGTCTATTGAAATTTCGCTAGCGTGACTCACGCCCGCAAAACGCATGGTCCGATGAGCTCTGTACAAATGTGTAATAATATACATGTATATAAGTTTATACTTTGTATATGTATTATATATTATGTGTGCATATAATACACAAACGCTCACAATGGTGTTGTCGCATTTAGCCCGTGTGAAACGGATACACCGAACGGCGGGCTCGTCCATTGTATACACACACAAAATGTGTATCTAAATATACTGTACACGTTTGTTGTATGTATGTATGTATATAGGTGCTGTCCCGTATAAAATATACTTGCGCTATTATATTTTATCATTATTCCACATCATTCGGTAATCTTCTTGTCATTGCTCGGCTCTCCGTATGTGGCTAATGGCCCCGCACACACACACCGGGCGGCATTTTATTCATATTTCACATTATTACTCGAGTATGGAAAAACGAACATAAATTTATAGCCGAACTTTTTGCTGCAAAACTCCTCGACACGATGACGCGGTTTTAGAGACAATAATTTATCACATAAAACCATCGCAACGTCAGCTGTTGTATTTGTGACACCGGCTTTAAATGCCTTTTTTTCATCTGGCACAATATGCAGTAGAGCTCTGCTATTTACCCGTTTGTCTGGTCAGGCGGACAATAATTATAATATCTGTCTAGGGATTTTGATTTGCCAAACCATATTACTTTGACAATTTCCAGCAACAATAACGTTCACTTGTCGCGCTTCCCACAGCGTTGGCCTCGCATCAGCTGGTCCCCTATGTGAACGAAATTACCCTTTTTAACGCCGTGTGCCCCTTTTTAATATACAAGCCATATGACCCTAATTTTTTTCCATATTATCGCACCCGATTTGTTTCAATTTCCTTTTGACATAGCATACACACACAGAGGCTTTTTTTTTTTTAAATTAATTTTCCATCTTGGCCGTCGTCAATTGGTGTGGTAATCGACGCCTAACGGGACGCGTCCACTCCAAACATTAAGCATATCCTTCCGGTGCGATATACGGATGTAGGTATAAAATGATATTGAACATCATGGGCTTTTAACGCGTTATAATAATAATAATAATAATAATAATACATACAGGTCCCCGGGGGCCAGGTGGTTTATGCACAGTGTACCGGCCAGATGTGTATGTATGTGTGTCTGAATAACTGCAAGACGGCGGTGGTCGCCTTCTTCGGGTTTCCTGTTTACACGAGCTGGAAACCCGACACTTTGTAGCCGGGTAAAAGGATATTATGTGCCGGCACACATACCTACACGTTATATTTGCCAGACTACAGAGATTTTTTTTTTATACTTACATATATTGTCCACAAACGAGTTCTTCTATAGACAATCCGTCTTGTGTTACATGGTACTGCAAAACAGCTATGCGATATTATAGTCTGTGCCAAGACCTTTAACTAAAACCGAAAAAATAAATAAATGTTTTCAACGACAAAGCATATTATTTTATTTTAGAAAATAATATTTACAATATTCTCTTAATTGGCGGGTGGGGCGTTTATAGTTTTTTTTTTAATTATTTGCATACCGTTTTTTAATCATATCGGTTTCCAATAACGGCCATAAGTGTGTAAACAAGCGCTAGACGTTTCTGCGCATAGGAAATTTCCAAGAAAGCAAAGAGATCTTTCATGTATATTGCACTCGTGTCCCCACGACACGATTAATCATCCCGGATTTTTCGCGGCTTCTGTGCAATAGAAAAAGGCCATTTTTCCATACCGACTGACCGCCTAGTGTCGTAGAAGGTGGTGCGCAAGACGATAAATTATATCAAATGATAAAATTAATAAGAAAAAAAGAAGAAGAACGGTCAATTCGCACAGAATACACACCAACGGTCGTTAATCGAGTTAAAAGGCGTTCAAAGGCCCTTCTATCGACCTTATCCCATCTTTTATCAATACCTATTTATAAAAATTTCGCCGTACCGGGTAGTGTCGCTTTCTCTGTGTCCGTTTTTTTGAATTTTTTTTTCTCCAGTAGAGCAGCAGCAGGTCCTTTTTATATTGCTGTACAGTACACAACAAAGGAAGTACACTGGACTGCAATCGGTCGATTTATTGCCACAATTTACGATTGTTACACATTTATACTACAGCAGCAGCAGCAACAACAACAATAATGTATGGGTCTTTTCCATTATTATTATTATTATTGTGTGTACAGGCCGACCATAGTGTGTATAAATATATTTTATCATATTATTTATTCGGTCGGTATTTCGCGTTTTAAATGCGCAAACCGGTCAACCGGAAAAATGATCATTTTCTAGATAGGGAAAAATAATATTATTATAATTTATCGTTGTGCAATTTTCGTTATTCGGCCCGTCCGATGAGAATTTTACATACACTATTATAATATAGTATTGCCTATCTCTTTTGTCTAACGTGTACGACGCCCAAGTCACACTGCTGGTAATCGTTATTGCCAAAAAGAATAAAGCACAATCGCTGCTGCTACCTTTATAATATTATTATTATTATTATCATCGTTGTGCCCCGTTGCATGTTCGACAATAGTAAAACTCCTGAGACCGTTTCGGCGGTGTATACAAACGGCTTTCAAAGGCGCACCTATCCGTATTGTGCTTTACACGATTGAACTTCTCAAAACGCGAAATTGGCGCTTAACAAAATATTATTTTAATATAGCGTGTCGCGTCTTATAAAAAATAATAATACAGGCAAACGCGATTGTGTCTGAACGATAAAAACCATCATTATTATCATCATCGTCATCATAACCCTCGCTTTCTAACCATAAGTCGCCCGTGGCAAGGATAATAATATTTTTATTATTCCATTGTCGTTGTCGTGAATAGATAAAAACGAAGAATAAATGTTATTTGAAAATCAAATTAACGTTGCGTTTGCACGTCGATCGTGCGATAGAGTAGGTGCACACATTTTGGCCATTACAGACATGGTAGATGGGAAAAACGACAAACGTGTATCAATTGTGATACGAGTATCGATAAGACTTAATATTCTACTTGATTTATACCGTCTATCCAAATACTTTGAACGTGTATAGATGTATTATGATTTATGAATGTATCGAGATTTTGTATCTTATTAATTGTAAGATTACAATATTATTAGAGGTGGACATTGTTATAAGTAATAACGATGCCCACTTTTAATTATACCTAACAATATAGTTATAGACTTAGAGAAATGCAAATTTGACATTATAATCCCAGGGTAAAATTAGGGATGAAAAATTCATTTATTTTTTTAAATTGTAATTAAAAAACAATTTTTAATTTTTTGCGCGTTGACCGGAGATTTATTTACCTTGTCTGAGGTTATGTGGTTTTTCATATACTCGAGTAAACTCGCCAAGTACAAATACTCACAAAATATTTGTTTATGTTGTTGTTTTAAGGTGAAAAAGACGTTTTCTAATGGCGTTTTTTTATTGTCCATTTTTTAGTGCCCAAAGGGTGTTCGTGCTGTCAGGCGAAACTAAGACGCAAGTCCCATCAACAACAACAACCACAACAACCTCAGCAACACCTTCAGCCATCTCACCTTCAACAACAACAACCTCACCACCAACAACACCACCTACACCAACAACAACAGCAGCAACAGCAACAACAACAACAGCTTCACCACCATCAACAACAACAACAGCAGCAGCAGCAACAACAACAACACCAGCAAAAGCAACAACAGCAGCAGCAGCAACAACAACAACACCTCCAACACCACCATCACCATCACCACCAAACTCATTACCAACAGCAACAACAACAACAACAGCAACACCACGAGTATAACAATAACAACAAAAGAATTAACGACCATCTACCTCTGCCCCAGACCGCGTTGCCCGCCCCTCCAACGGCTCTTTGGGGTTTCAACGGTACCATCGCGGCGGTACTGCGCAACGAGTACAGCGGTAAACCGGCCAAGACGTTGGGACGGATCACCGACCCCATCAACAACATACTCACACCGACTTACATGTTCTAAAGGTCCGGATCCGCACACGAGGTATAATACGCCTTTGTACACGCGTTGTTGTTTTTTTATAATAATATAAATAAAATACATTTATATTATTTTGTCTGAAAGTAGTACGACAAAAATCTACCTACTGTTGTAAGCGCGAGAAATACATGTTTTTTTTTTTTTAAATTATACATTATTAGATTTGCACGTTTTAATGTATACACGATAATTATATTAGGTGTATACTACCATCTAAGACTGTGCGTTTGATGTCATAGCGCGCGTAGGCTCTCCGAGGAAATTGTCTTATGAGATGTCATAAAAAATAATAAAATTAACGTTAAAAAATACCGTTAGTTTTGTCAATAATAAAACTAATACACTACAAACGCGCTTTCTACCGGGTGTATGTCCGACCGCCATTTTGTTGTTAAAAAATCTCGTGTGGGTGGTTTCCCCAAGGAACATTTGTGTTGGATGTATAATTTTTGTTTTTTTGATTTTTCAATTTGCACACAACACCGTTACGTGGCTAGTTGTAAATTGTAACTGAAAAAAACAAAAATCAAATCCATTGAGAAAAAAAAGCTATGTATAATTCGTGCGTGTCGCTTTTGTGTTGGCTGTGATATATTGTGATAATAAAAGAAGAAAAAAATTAAAGAAAAAAGAAAACGCACGAAGAATTAAATTTTCGAATATCGAAAAGGAAAAAAAAAACTGCGTAGTTTTTTTTTTGTCATTAATAAGGGTATAAAAAATTTTTGCGTAAAGACTGAACGAATAATATCTTCAAAAAAAAAAAAAATTTATATAATATAAATATGGAAAAAAAAGACTGTACCTACCCCCCCTTTCGTAGTAATATCTAATTTATGTATTGTATAAGAAAACAAAACGAAAACAGTCCCGGGGTGAAAATGAAAAAATTAATGTGTACCGAATAAGTTCCTTATATGTATAAAATAAAAACAAAATAAAAAAAACAAAAAAATGATGCGAAATACCCAATAAACGTTATGATTTTGTCTATTTATACATATAAGTGTACATTCCTATATAATTTATCATCATTATATATACGTATATATATATTTATATTATTATTATTATTATTATTATTATATTTACAATTATATTATTATATTAATAATGAAAATAAAAAACCAAACAATACGAAAAAAAACTTTTAACGTCTTATTAGGTGTGCCTGTTTTTTTTTATTAATTTATATAATTTTTATCTAGTCTGGTTGGATAATGGGCCAAAGAGCGCTATACAAACATGTATAACAAGTAATATATTATTTTCCTTCAATAACATCATAACGATAATAATAATAATAATAATAATATTAATAAAAATCAGTAGAACCGAGCTTCACTAATAATAATAATAGTACTTTATCACTCGCAGGCCTAATTCCATTTAGGTCTTTGGACTCGGTAAATGATGTTAATATTATGCTATTTTGAAATTAATACATATTATACATAAACGTAATATACCCACAATAATAATTTTATAATATAGATACAATGGATTTATCGGCGTTTTATTAATTTTATTTCTTTACTTCTCTTTTTTTTTTTTGTTACAAACGATTTTTTAAAAAATATAATAATAATTATATGATATTAACTGTTGGCCTGTGATATATTATGTATATGTACCGTTTATAATATTATCTGACATGATACTATTATTATATTATATTGTTATATTATTTCCTTTTTTTTTCTTTCTGTTACGACTAACATTTTAATAAAATAAAAACTTGGAGTAAAAAAAAAATATGAAAAAAATATATTTATTTATATACTTATATCTACATATTATGCATTACTTGTACGATTATAATATGATTTTTCTTTTTGTAATATTATCGTATTTGTAATAATTTATTTATTTATAGACATATACCACATTGTAATATTAGATGTTTCTGTATGCGCCTTTACGTTGTAAAATAAAAGTTAGTCTTGTATAGATTTTTTTTCTGTTTGTAATAATCATCCTAATATCAGGAGGTGGTTTAATTGTTGAAAACATATAAACAAAAAAAAAAACAAATCAAAGAACATTGAGAAAAAACGATTTAATAAATACACGAGATTATAAAAGAATAATTATTCAAATTTGTTTTTTTATTTCAATAATTTTTTTTTTGCGTACATTTTCCTAAAAGGTAAAACGACGAATTTGTCGGGTGGCATAGACCAAAATATTTAATATTCTTAAAGGTTAACAGAACAGTTTAACATAAGGTTGGATCTGGTATGAAAAACAGATATTAAAGTATAATATGTATGTACCTTGCGTTTGGGCTACTGAGGTTGTGATGAGGTAACCTCATAAGGTATTTTCGCGAAGACTTTATGAAGATCTTTATACAGAGTTGATACAAAAGGTAAACGGTAACACGCTATAAGGTATATAGAACAACGACGCAGAAAAAGTAAATATATATTTAAAACAGTTTGAATACAAACGTTGCATTTGTAATCGAACGCTTTTGTTGAAAAACAAATATATTTTCAACAATATTGTTGTTTTTGTTAAAAAAACTTTGTGCCAGAACTATGATAACATCACAAAAATAATCCAGACAAATTTTAATCTAGAAATATAATGTCCTTATTTGGTTAAGGTTATGAAAAATGTACTTACATCTTACAAAAATTATAAAGTAACTATATAAAATCTATAAAATATTCTTTGTTTTATTAATTATTAACAAATTAGGCCACGGGTTAATTTTCACTAATATAAATTTAAAAAATGTATTTACAACCTAAATATAATAAATAACATATATCAAGAAAAAAACAATGTCTTTAATACCTATGAAAAAAATTACCTCTGCAAATTAGTATGATTTTATTTAAAAAAAAAAAACATTTAGGCACCTAGACATATCAGTATCTAAGTTAAATAAAAATAGTTCAAATTTGTCAAGTTTTTGGGCAATATAAATTATGTATATATATATACATAATTTTTTGGTTTATCATATTTATACAGAACTCTAATCTAAATTATCACGGTTAAAACTAAATTATAAAATGCGGCAACTTTCTTCTTTTTTGCTGTTTTAACAATAGACCATTTTTATTTAAAAATGCAAAATATCCAATTATATATTGTTAAATTAAAATGATAAGTGTACGTTATTTATTCAAATTCTCCTTGTATTATATTCAAAATTTTCAAAAGATAATATCATAATTTTCAGCGAAAGGATAATAAATTAAAATAATTAATATTTGTTGAAAATATATTACCATTGTTGCGTGGGAAGCATAACGTTGGACAATAGGCGCACGTGTATCGTACCTATCAATAATTCAAAAATGCAAATAATATATTTTGCGGTACACACAACAGCGAGAAAAATAATGTCCAGTACAAACATGACATTAAAAAAATACATACAGCGGTAATAGTATAAAATAAAAAATATTTATACAATGTGAGAAGAAGAAGCAGAAGTAGCAGAGAAGAACGTCGTGTCACGTTTAAAATGATTTGTGTGTTCCAATCTATTGACCATGCTGTTCTCGGTATAAAATATAATGGAAAAATCCCCCAAAAAAAAAAATAACCGCATGTCGTCGTCATCCCGGGAACAGGACTAAGAAGAAGAAGAAGAACATTTTATTCAATTTTTTCTTTAAAATGTTTTCTTTGCCATTTGACCGAACCAAATGGAAACGTGCAAAACGTATTACAAGACGTCGGTCGGCCGGTTCTTTTTTTTTTCGTTTTGTTAATACAAATCCTTCAAGGTGTAAAGAGTGTAAAATGGAATTCGTGTATACTATAACATACAAGAGACTCTGGCCGGTATGTGTGTGTGTGTGATGTTCGTCGACTGATAAAAATAATAATAACACAATGAGTGTCACGGGACCGTGTCCGAAACGACACGAGGATAACGGATTTGTGTGGAAAAAGGGGAAAGGTGTAGATGGGAGGTGGTGTGGAGGAACTCGACAATTAAAACAGAATTCCAAAAAAACCGGCTCGTATAGTTAAGACATAATAACAATATAATAACCTTATGTATAGGGTTTTCCGTGTAAATTTGCATTGGTCGCGGTTCGCGGCGTAAAACGTTTGGCTGAGAATTATAATTTGCAAATTAATTAGGTGTTTCCAGTGTAAACCGAGTATATGTGTGCATTAGAGATTGCAAAATACATTTTTTTTGGACGCGCGGTGAACGACCAACTAAATCGCCAATTTAGATAATATTATTATACACATAAAAAAGTTGTCCAAACTGTGTAACGTTATAATCGCTTTTCAAGTAAGAACTTACAAAGGAAATTGATTTATACAATTGTTGTACCACCACCATGTAAAGCCATAATAATGATCAAAAAAAAATATGAACAAGTTATGGAACCTTAAAAAAATAGTAACTCGACCACTTTACAATACGTACAATTCTATGCAAAAGATATTATATATTGTTATTAAAAGAATACCTACTAGGCGACATAATACAACGGCGTAAAACTAATTAAATAAATAAATTACTTATGTACAGACATTAGGTACAAGTCAAGGTTAAATAGTGGAAAAAAAATAATTTTTCTCTATTGATGAGATGGAAAAAACACTAGGATTGATTTCGACATGGCTAAGAGACCAAAAGTTGTAAGTCTAGATTTTTTTCAAAATCGTTTTACACGTCCATTGGGTTAATCTTGGTCGAATATTATATAAGTCAACTTCCATAATATAGTATACTTGTTTTTTGATGTTCTAGTTTTTCAACGGCTCGGGTCGATAAAAACAGTGGCGTTAACTATAGACTAAAGCGTCCGAGGGCAAGACATTTTTTTGCGCCTATATTACTTCTTAACGTGTATGCTACGCCATCGGATGAAGGGCTGTGTTAACTGTTACAGCTCGAACGGAAGCGATTCAATCGAGGAAACGTTTGGTTAATAAAACAAAAAAAAAAAGGTAAATCACACGGAAGAGCGAAAAAATATATATATATATAATGATTTTATAGCGGTTTTTTTTGTTTGTAATTTTTTCGGTTGTTGTTTTTTTACAGTCGACGATTATAATAATCATTTTTTGCGTATTTCACGGTCGAGATGAGAATTCGGTTGAAGATTTTTGCTTTCTACCCGGTCGGAGGACTAGTGAAATCTTATTTTTTTTCAATTTAAACAAATAAATGTCTTTCTCGGACGCCTATACGCCAACAGTAATAATTATCTTGTGCCGTCGAGTAGTGCGACAGTGAAATGTGCAGCTGATGCACAATCGTTCCCATGCAGTTATCGGCTAACCCCTTAAGTATGTCGTCCACGTTTATTGGCGTGCACCTCTTTCGGTCGTTATGCTACATATTTATATGGGACGAGGGGATTGCAGTTTATAATATAGTCATAAAAAGACCCGGGGGACGCGAACACGGTTATATTTGCCGGAATTTATAATGCTCGTTTCGTACACACATAATATAATGTATAGGCATCTTTTATCATCATAATGTATCTTGGTTTTATTTGATTTGCCAGGAAAATATAGTACTAGCAA